AGCTGGAGCTCCGATCTCCGCGCATCCTCGAGCAGCTGGAGGGCCACAACCCAGGCCCCAGAGAGCTGACAAGAGCCTGGGGAAAAATCGTTTTTCGTTTGTATTAAGTTTAGGGTTTAGGGTTTAGGGAGTTAGGGAGTTTAGGGAGTTTAGGCGGGGCCTTGACAATTAGAAAAGGGTTCTTTTAAAAGGCCTTTTTTGGTAAGGGTCACTAGAAGGGATGCTATCCGAGTGTAGTTTTGGGGCGGGTTGAAGGTTTAGGCTGAAGTCTTTTTGAGCGCCCTTTTTCATTGCCGGTTGCGCTGAGGCTCCAGGTTGAAGTTTAGGGCCAGAGCAGGGATGTTTTACTGGGTTAGGTTTGGGTGCATATCAAGGATTCAAGGCCTTAGGGCCTGGGTTTAGGATTTGGGACTGTTAGAATTTGGGGCTGATGGTTTGGAGCTTGGGCTTCATGAGGGCTCGTGGATTTGAGGTTTGAGGCTTCAGGGTTTGGGGCTGCGGGCTGAGTTTGGGGCCAGGCGGGCTTTTGCGGATTCGAGCGGCTGATGGTTCGATTGTAGGTGACGGTGGTGACCTCGACGTGTTCGCTGTGCATTTGGCGCATCAGGTCGAGGCAGGTAGGCCACAGCTGACCTCTGCTGGCAGCGGCCAAAGTGGCGTTGAAGGTGATGGTGTTGGGTGTAAACTCCCGGCGAAGATCTCGGAACATGCCCAAAGCCGCGGGCCACTGCAGAGCCTTCTCACAGGCGCTGAGAGCTGTGTTGAAGCAGATCAAGGCCGTGGTCGGGTCCACGCGCCGCTCTTTTCGCAAGGCGTAGAGGATCCTTGGAGGTTCATGGGTAGATAAGTGGGGTTACAAGTCGGGTAACTATACTTGTAACCCATACTAGGCGGGCTTTTATAATTCTATAACTTATAACGACCCTTAAACCCTATAATCCTACTATACCCTAAACCCTAAACCCTATAGAACCCTTAAAGGAACCTACTTATGAATTTGGGGCTTTTATAACCCTTTACTTGGAGGGTCGGGGGACTTAGTAAGTAGGTTGTAAGTAGGCTTATAAGTACCCGGGGGTTATGGTACTTGTAAGTCCCTAAAATAACCAGTTACTAAGTCCCCCCGACCCTCCAAGCACTCTAAACCCTAAACCTTAGACGCTTATAGAATCCCTATAGATCCCTTGAAAGGCCTTAGGAACCCATTATGTTACTAAGTCCCCCGACCCTCCAAATACTATACCCTAAACCCTAAACCCTATAGAACCCTTAAAGGAACCCTACTTGTAAATTCGGGGCTTTTATAAACCTTTACTTGCAGGGTGGGGGACTTAGTAAGGGACCCTTTAAGGGCCCCTTTAAGGGACCCTTTAAGGAACCCCTTTAAGGGACCCTTTAAGGGACCCCTTGAAGGGCCGAGGATCTTGATGGCGGCCCGCCACTGGAGACCCCGCTCGCAGGCGCTGCTGGCGGCCCCGAAGGTGATGTTCGTGGGCCTTGGGCCCACGGCCTTGATCTCATGTCATCTTTGGTACTAAAGTAAAAGCCAGAAAGTTGGAATATGATTATCCTAAACCCTTTATGGTAAATTATAGGGTATCCTACCCTGAAACCATATTCCAACTTTCTGGAGTTCCCTGTACACTATGCTACATTAGACTATATAACTACATATTTTGCTACACTACACGAGATATTATAGTATACTGTATTATGACTCTGAGGGGATACTGTTGATGATATAAACCCTGCATTTTTTGGAGGGCCCTGAACTGTGGGAATTCTGGTGTGTGTGTATATATATATATATTCCTGATTATGGGTAATGCAGGATTTATATCATCAACCGTATCATGTCATCTTTGGTACTATACTATATTGTACCATATATTGTACTATGCTACACTAGATATTGTACTATACTCTACTATACTATATATTATACTGTATATTATACTATACTATCCTATACTTTACTTTACTATAGATTATACTCTACTATAATATATGATACATTATATGCCTCGGCCTTCATCTGCTCAAAGAGGCGCAGCGCCCAGGGCCAGGCGGAGCCCCTGCTGCAGGCGCTCATGCAGGCGTTGCAGACGCCGGCGTCGGCGGCGAGCTCGAAGTCCGGCAGCTGCTGGAAGAGCCTGGCTTGGGGCTTATTGTTTTAGGGTTTAGGGTTCAGGGTTTATAAGATTTAGGGTTTAGGGTTTAGGGTTTAGGATTTATAGGGGAAATAAAGGGACATCCAAAAAATTATCCCAAAGCACAACCCAGGACCCCAGGGCCGAGGGCCAGTCGGAAGCCCGGCCGCAGGCGCTGATGGCCGTGGAGAAGTTGGCGTTGCCTGGGCTCGGGGTAGGGAACCTTATGTAAGTTACCATAATAGATATATTATTTAAGTTACCATAATAGGGATCTAAGGCTCTTGTTCTTTAAGGGAAGCTTATTTAAGTTGCCATAATATATAGATTTAAGTTACCATAATAGGGATCTAAGGATCTATAGTAAATGGCTCTGGTTAGGGAACTTTATTTAAGTTACCAGTTACCATCATAAATATATGGTTTCCTTATATGGGTTCTTGTTCTTTGGGGAACTTTAATTTAAGTTACCATAATAGGGATCTAAGGATCTATAGTAAGTGGCTCTTAGCCGGGAACTTTAATTTAAGTTACCATAATAGGGATCTTTGGTAAATATATGGTTTCTTTATACTGGCAGCTTAAACCATAACAGGGATCTACAGTAAATAATAGGGTTTCCTTATTATGGTAACTCAAATAAAGTCCTTTCACAAGAACCCAGTTGCTTGGGGCGGTGGCCTGGAGACCTTCCCGGAAAACTTCCAGTGCCTGGGCCCAGCGGCTCGCCTTGTCACAGGCGCTGCTCACCACGCTGAAGCAGAAAGCATCCATGGGCACCTGGGAGTTTCCGAAAATTAGGGGTACTGTATTTGGGGGTAACAAGGATCCTACTATTTAGGGTCCCCGATTTTCCAAAACTCCCACCTCCTGCTGCTTCATGTCCGCAAAGATCAAGAGAACCTCTCTCCAGGCCAGCCTTTGGGCCAAGGAAGTCATGGAGGCCGTGTAGCTTCGGACACTCAGCGTGGCGAGTCTCCGTGCCATGGCTGTGCCGCATCGCCGAAGCGCTGTGTGACGGGGTGGGGGCGTGCGAGTGTCTCAAGGAGCTCTGCTAGAGCAACTCACGGCGTCAGCACACGCAGATGCGACTAAAGACTTCGCAGGCGGAGCTCAGCTCAACTGGCATGCTTGCTTCACTCTGCTGAGCTCTACTGCCGCATCGGACGCAAGGGAGAGCGGAGATTGCAGGATAGGCGGCAACCCATGGGCCAGACAGACGATAGGAAGAGGAGGTACCCCCTCACATAACAACGTACTGTGACGACTCAAGCCATGGCATGAAATGGATTGCAGCATTCTAAGCAGGAAGCTTACGGGATCCGCAACAAGAGAGAAGACTAGTGTTTTGAGCGAATAGGAGACTATCACCGATGTCAACACGAAGCTACAGCTACGCAAGTGGATGCTGCTACGTCCACGCGCTCTGAACCCTGGGTTTAGGGTTTAGGGTTTAGGGGTTACCAGTTACCATAATAAATATATGGTTTCCTTATATGGGTTCTTGTTCTTTAGGGTTTAGGGTAACTGTCTTCAGCCAACATGCGCTAAACCCTGGGAGCTGAACCCCCCAGAATCCGCAATCTGGGACGCCGTACTCCGAAGGAGTGCTGTAAAGGAGCCATTCAGGGGGTATAGAGATTTTATGCATCTTCATAGCCCTTCAAAACCACAAAGAGCTGTCATCCCTGGTTCTCCGTCTTTTTTCTTCGCCGCCTGACCGCCATCTTCCTCGGAGAGTCCCGCAAGAAAGGGTGCCTTCCTTGGAGAACATGTCGCCGCGACCCTCAAAGCGCGAACCCTGCAATCCGCCTGACATGAGGAGCGGGGACAGAGCAGAATGGCAATGGCAGAGAGCTTCTTACCTTTATTGCTGCCTTTTTTGCGCAACCGCTTCGCATGCAAAACTGCTGCCGTGTCTTTGGTGGTACAGTGATGGAATGCTGCTATTCTTGGTGCACATGCTTCGTACATCTCTGACATCTGCAGATGCTGGATTGTCAATGCGAGTAGAAACCAGTGCCCAGGAGGTTTCAGTAGCATGGAGCTCCTCCAAGGCAGCTCCGGAGCCTTGGGGGGGGAGGGAGGGGCCGGGGGTTACACGTTGTAGTGTCGCCTCAGCAGCCTCTACATCTGCCCTCCCGTATGCGATTTCTGTGTTTGCCGCGCATGTTCCGCAGCAGCTGACATCGCATCTCCAGGCCGTCTTTGCCTGATCTGCCTCCTACGAATGGCTGCTTCCGGGTGCTGAGACAGCGAGTCCTGGGCCCTTCTCTGCTTAAGCAAACACTTTCGTCCCCTCCCTGCAAAGAGAAGAAATAATGCTGACAGAACGTCTGCTGAGACGCAGAATGATGTGGGGATTATGAAACTATACAGGGATCCTTAAGTGATCCAAGGCATAAACCTTAATTCACGGAGACGGCCCAAGCCAAGGCCTCAGCACTCGAGCAAGTGCGGGCTGTCGCTCCGCAAAGCTTTCAAGTTCAACCTCAAGGCTTGTGGCCCCGAATGTGAGGCCTTTACTGTGAAAACTACAGTTTTGGGGTATATTCCACTATTGAAGAAGGCCTATGGGGGAGTGCTGGAACCCTAAACCATTAACACGTTGATGAGGAGACTCGGCTGAAGATCTTGTTTAGGGTTAAGGCCAAGGCCTTTGGCTAGCGGATCGCAAAGCAAGGGCCTTTAAGAAAACTTGAGATGCCAACGCCGAAAGTCGTCAAATGCTCTAAGTCCGACAAGACTACCCTTAAAGTGTATGCTCCAGGGTTTAGGTTGACATAGGTTGACTTTGAAAGCTTTGGACGCCCCCACACGTTTCCGTTGGTCAGTTTTTCTTGCGGCCTCTCACTTTCGGCGCCGGTGCCTGAGGCAGTCGCTTTGGGGGTTTCTAGGGCTTCGGAGGTATAGTTTAGGGTTCAAGCTTCAAAGTATTGGGTTTAGGGTTTCTAGGGCTTGTGGCACAATCCCGAAGCCATAACGCGTGTTCCAAATTATTTTGAGCACAGTGCGGGCATGCAATGGACCACGGTACTACAAGCATAAATATGGGTGGGGGCAGACATTAGAAGACTGTCCTAGGGGCCTTAATGAATACAAGCACTGGAATAGGGCTCTGTATGGGTTCTGGAGGTTTTCTAGGTTCCGTATAGAAGCGAAGACAATCATCAAAACAGTGCGTTTGTGCTTATTGCGATATACTTACTTAGGCACTAAGGACCTACTACAACGGCAGGAGAACAGTTTCGACCTACTGGCAATATCTTTCTTTTTAGCGGGGGCTTTACATGCCGATTTGAAGTTATACTGCTTAAATCCGATGCGTACCGTTGCCGAGATTCTACAAGGGAATGGGGGCCATTGCTCTATAAGACCGTGAGCAGGGCGAACTTGCATCCTACCAGTATGGCTGCTTATGCATAGGCCCCGTAGTAGTTCCTTTTTTGGGGTTCATATATCGAATCCTATAAGGTAATCCCAAAAAGGAACTACTATGGGGCCTATTGGTATCCCGACCCCGAGATTCAGTCTCCAGCTTTCTTCGCCCGCTGCGCGACCTGCACGGCATTTCGGTAGCTTGGAAGCTCACGGCTTTATGGGTTTGGGGGGTTCCTTTAAGGGTCCCTTTAAAGGGCTCTATAGGGATTCTATAAGGGTATAGGGTTTAGGGCTTACTTGGAGGCTCATGGGTAGTTATAAGTGGGGTTGTAAGTAGGGTAACTAGAAGCATAACCCATATGAGGGGACTTACAACCCCACTTATAACTACCCTTAAACCCTATAATCCTACTATCCCCTAAACACTAAACCCTATAGAACCCTTAAAGGAATCCTACTTATAACTACCCATGAACCTCCAAGTAGGGGGTTTTAAGCGCTAGATGTGACTAGGGCTTTGAACATTCACGCCTCGGCTCCTGCTTTAAGGCTCCAATGACAGCCTTGTGGCCTCAGCCTGAGTAAGCAGTGTGAAGTTTGGGGGTACATTATGGTATACCTAGATGATGGAACCCTAAGAAACATTATTACCAATCATTCATGGCCCCAAGCCCTTAACCCTTACAGAGTTTTCATAGGACCTTTATACATCGCCGGGGCGAAAGCGTCGACATAGAGAGGATCTTTTCTGTAATGCATGCCGCGGAGAAGCAGAGAGGGCGGAGGTCTATTTTACATGGCCAGTGTCGCGGAGTATCATTTAGTTGTAGCTGCAACAACCTATCTCTCGCCGTAGCGGGTGTCGCGCAGTAGTTATTTCCCAAGGAATATAGTTCCGCGCGTTTCGAGGCCTTGTGGAAGCCCCTTTCCCAGCGCCTGACATGTTCAGTTAGAGGTCGTGTAGCGAAGCTTTATCCTGCGATAATGGAAACCTTACAGAGCTCTGTAAAGAAACTCCGAAAGAAGCCCGATTCTATAGCGACATTGCAAGCCTTCCGGCTTGCGGCCTTTCAATTCAAGCCCTCACTCCAGACCAGGTCACATCCAGCTGTAGACCCGAAGAATAAACCATTTTCTGTGCATTTAGACTTTGACAGCAGAAGTGTCCATCTCACCAAACAACCCCTCTGGTTTAGTGCTTATGTTTTAGACTCCAGATCAACACTGCTTGTCTAAGGGCCCTCAAACTAAGTAGGGTTTAAGGTTTAGGGTTTCATTCTTGAGCGGGTGTAGAGTTTAGGGTTCCTAAGTCGGGCTATAGGTTCTGGCTCAGGGTGTAAAGTTCAAAGGTTCTCTGTCAGTCTGGACTAAATCTGGATGCGAAGTGAAAATGCTCTGCAGCTTGTCTCCGCGTCATCCTAAAGAGGACCCCTTCCCTGCAGCCACTCGAGCGCCGAAGTCCTTCCGAAACCCTGCCGCAACCTGGATTTAGGGTTTAGGGTTTAGGGGACTCTACTGGTTCTCAGGCCTTTTAACAATAAGCCCAAGTACCTAGCACTAAACCCTAAGCTTCAAGCCCTGAACCCCGAACTTTGACCACACCTCCCCCGGGCGTCGGCAACATCCCGTCCCGAGGCACCCTGGCCGCGGGGTGTGCTCGGCATACGGTTTAGGGTTTACCAAACCCCGAATAACCTTCCTTTTTAGGGCTCCTTGTTACGATTTCCTTATATAAGTCCCTAAGAGGGTAGGTTTTCCCGCGTTAAGGCAGGGTTTAGAGTCTCGGCTTTAGGGTTTGGGGTTTAGGGTTTAGAGTTTCGCCTGTAGGGTGGGGTTTGGGGTTCTACAGCGTGTAGAGGATCTCAGCAAGGTGTTTCTCATAGTATCTGCAGTGCTTCAGAAGGCTTTTCAATGCTTAGGGTTGGTTCGAAACTTCACAGAAATCACAGGTAGTTCTTACTTGGAGGGTCAGGGGACTTAGTAAGTAGGGAGTAAGTAGACTTATAAGTACCCTAAAAGGAACCCTAATTGGGGTTATGGTACTTATAAGTCCCTAAAATAACCAGTTACTAAGTCCCCCGACCCTCCAAGGAGTGGCTCTGAAGGGTTCGGGAAGAGAAGGTTTTCTCAAGCTCGCTGTCAGCCTTCGGGTACTTCGTACGAAGCTGTGCAGTCTGCATGTGCTGAACAATGGGAAAAAGTTTAGCGGTTAAGGTTGCAGGTGCAGGGTTGGAAAAATGGTCCCTTAAAGCCAAGACTCGAGTATGAACCCTGCCGCTGCTTCCCGGCAGCTGTTGAACAGGGCATACTATGACTAAATTTTCAGAACCACACGTCGAGGTTCATGGGTAGTTAGAAGTGGGGTTACACGTAGGGCAAGTATAGCTGAAGGGGACTTATGACCCAACTTATAACTACGTACCCGAAACCCCAAACCCTAAACCCTAAACCCTAAATCCCAAACCCTAAACCCAAAAAAGGCGGAAGGCGTGGGCCTGCCAGTCGCTGGGCGGCCGTGCATACTGCGGCGCCGCACCGGACCATGAGCCGGGGGGTGATGCCTGGCATTGCGGCTTTGGGATTGTGGTCAGGGTTTAGGGTTGAGGGTTTTGGGCTGAGGGTTTAGGGTTTGGTGTTTGGGGTTTAGGATTTCGTGTCTTTTCGGCTTGACGGATTTCGGATCGGTAGGAGGGAGGGTTCAAGGTGGACTTTAATGGGGTCTCACATGGCTTTATGAAGTCCTGTATAGTATGGGCTTTCAAACGGGGCTTCACTCGGTTTTGTAAGACCAGCGTACGGCTTTACAAGCTTTTGTAGAATTGAATCTAGTCTAGGGGGGCGAAATCAGCAGAATAAACCGCAAATAAACCCCATAGTTCTGAGCTTTCAGGGTTCATGGGCTGCAGAAACTGAGGGGCGTCGGACTCACTCGGTCTAGATCTTGTCTTTTGCAGCTTAGGGTTCAGTAAAGTCTAGGGCTTGAGGTTAACCCTAAACCCTAAACCCTAAACCCTAAACCCTAAACCCTAAACCGTTTTTTGTGTGAATAGACCTGAACAGTGGGGCTTCGAGCTCGAACAATTTCCCTTGCTTGTCCACGCCTTGGGAATACATAGGGGTGGTTGTTAGAATTATGGTCCCTTTTAGGGTCCGTATTATAATACGGCACCTAATATTTAGGGTACCCAAACAGGGGCCATAATTTTTACCAGCTACCCACATAGGCGTGACAGTACCCGAAAAAGGTTAAAGGAATACTAGGTTTCTTGGACTGACATTCCATTGTCTGTGCCCGCACTGCGATGGTGGTGTCGCACAGCCTGCTCGCAGTTTCGTTATCTTGGCGCCTTAGAATTTGGGTTTAGGGCGCCTTACTAATTTTAGTATGGTCTTGGGGCACATTATACTAACCATTTAGGAACACTAAGGAACTTTAAGGAACCCTATTCCACGATTTTACGCTCCTATGTTCAAACCAGATCGTGTAGAGCACAGGGCTTGACACTTGCTTGCTTTGGGGCTTGCATTCAATTGCCGAAAACACCCAACATCCTCATCCAATCCAAGGATCATCCTGGAACCTTACCCGAATCTAGCACCTCTGCATAGTGGCCGGGCGGTGGCGCATGCATAGGTGGGTAACCGAACGGCGGAGGATGGTGGTACCTCGGAAAGTGCGCCCCAACTGGCTCATCTGACTGACTTCAACCTCATCACAATAACTACAGAACCAGCTGTAACAGAGCCCTGTTATGGCTCAGAGTCTTGGGGTCTTCGGCCCTCAGGTTTTAGGCTTTGATGCGTCCCCTGAGTGTGTTGATTTACGGCTTGAGGGCCGCAGGGTTTGGGGCTCTTAGGTTCTGGGGCTTAGGTTCTAGGGCTTAGGGTTTAGGGTTTAGGGTAAGTTAAATTATGTAATATGTCGATTTAGGGCTTCAGGGTGGTGAGGATCTGGCTTTTTAGGTTCCAGGTTTACTGAAATTACGTTTTGCGCTGTTTTGGTTTGATACTGATCTGCTCACCGCGCTCGGTCCCGGATTCTCAACTGTAGCTCCCTTTACTGCAAAATCCGAATCGTGTAACCCTTGTAATCACCCACAGCTAGCATTTTTATCTGGGGGCATGCTTCCCACATATTTCGTGCATGTACGAGCACCAGCATAGCACCATTTGCACAGAGACAAGGCTGCATGGCAAAAATGTGGAGAGGTCAGCAAGTCGGCAATTTGCACAAAGGCCATGCATGCTTCTACCGGGATGTATTTCCCAGGTAACTGTACCTCCTGGAGCGATGCCGCTGAAACAAAAACCGAGCTAATGCTAGATAATGCCAGCAACTACGTCAGCCTTTGTTCTACTTCGCACACACATGCCCGCGGTGCTATAGCGAGTCATTGAATGAAATTTGATTTTTGTTTTGCAGTGAATGAATTCGAGCATCCGAGGCCCTATCCCAGATCCAGCAGCATAAGTGCCAGGATCAATTCAAGTCTGGCGGCTTAGGGTCTGTGGTTTAGGGTTTAGTAGGGTTTTAGGGTTTTTAGGGCTTTTGGTTTGAAGTTGGCTGTCTTACCACCTGTCTTCGATAGGTCTAGGCCGTCTCAAAGCACTGCACAAGTAGCTCCACGGCGTTCTCTCGGGGGCAGGCATTGGCGGCATGTAGCCAGGATGGCCATACCTCGCCAAGCAGTCTCATCTTGATACTTTGGACGGACAGAATCTCTTATTCCAGTAGCCCTAACCCCTTAACCCTTAAATTTAACCGTCTGCAGCCTCTGGAAACCAGGATCTGGGGAAGTTTCGGGGTGCAGGGTGTGTGTACAGGGCTGGGATCTAAGGTTGCAGAGTTCGGGTTTCTATCGCCTGCCACACGGGCTGAATTATGTGGAGGAATTCGTAAAATTATTGATGGCCCTTTCGACTTCCATATTAGTCATCGCGGAGAGCTGCCCCATCAAAGCAAATACAAAGATCCACCGACACAGACAGGAACAGTTGCTGGTCTGCCGAGTCAGCAGCCAAGCAGAAGACACCTGAACTCGAAGCTGCCAAACCATAAAACCCTCAACCTCGAAACGCCTGCATCCTGAAGCGCTGAAACCCGGAACCTGAATCCTCTAACCCCCATGTTCCAAAACCCCTCGCCCTTCGCCCCTGGCTTAAATTCTAAAGGCCCTAAAGCCCCAAATGCAGGACGTGCAGGGACAGACATGGGTCCCCGGACATGTGGGGATGCCACTCCGGGGGCGGCTCCCGCCTCAGTTGGGCTTAGGGACTTTTGGAGTTCAGCTTAGGGCTTAGGGTTTAGGGTTTTTTTTTGGGGGGGGTTTAGGGTTTAGGGTTTAGGGTTTAGGGGTTTAGGGTTTAGGGTTTCGGGTTTAGGGTTTAGGGTATGGGGTTTAGGGTTCAGGATTGGTCAGAAGGTCCTGAAAGGGGGCCGAAGGGCAAGGAATTGAGATTCGGGTTTAGGATGCTTCGTTTTCAGGTTTAGTCCTGAGGCTTTTAAGGCTTGAACCGCTTGAATTCAGCGTTTAGGGCATAAGAGGTTTAGGGATGCATGATAGAATAGATGGCTTAGGCTGTAGCATGGCTCATAAAACGTACTGCCACAACAACATGACTTATATGTGCTCCTAGCTCAGAATCTTTCAATCAAACTGGAGCTGTTGACACAGTGCCTAAAGTTCAGCATCAACGGCCTAAGATTTAGCCGGCCCGTAAACCCTGCATCTCAACACTCCCTAAACCCCTAAACCCCTAAACCCCTAAACCCCGAAACCCTAAACCCTAAACCCCTAAAATGGAACCAGAGGCCCTGGCCACCTCTCCCGGGCCGGGCTCTCCGAGCGATCGTCCCTGCGACCGCCTCTGCGATCCCCCCTCCGATCCGCCCTTCGATCTGCCTGCGAGGACATAGAATTTAGGGGATTTAGCGGGGGGTTTGGGGATGTTTGGGGTATAGGGGGCTTAGGTTTTTGGGTAGATAGGGTTTCGCGTCTAGGGTTTAGGATTTTGAGGATTAGAGCTTGGATTTGGGGTTTGGTGGTTCAAGTTCTTCTTAGGGCTGAAAGGGCGTGTTGCGTGCACTGCGTCGAATGCTCTACTCTCTACAAAACCCTGGGACTTGAAGGGCGTAGGGTCTTGTGGCTACCGGGGTGTCAAGTTCCTGGGGTTCTGGGGTTTTGAAAGGAGGGTCGACCCCAAAATGCTACAATCCGAAACCCCTCCACCGAAAAGCGTTCAATAAACCCTAAACCAACCCGTAGCCCTGAAGAACCCGAGAACCCAAGCAGCCCCAAAAACCTCGGCCATGGCGGCCAAAAGCGACGAAGAGCCACTTGCGAGGGCCTCAGGGAAGGACAGAGGCTTCGGGGTATCGGGTTCAGGGGCTTAAAGGCTTTTTCAAAGGATTCTTGAAGGGCTTCTTTAAAGGGAAAGCATGGCTGCCTGCTACTCTGATACCTAAACCCTAAACACTAAGCCTCGAACCTGTCAACCCTATACCCTAAAGCCTAAAGCCTAAACCCTACGACAGGTTTTGTTCCTGCTGTTACTTCTTACCAAATATATAAAAGGCTACTGTGATGCTCCTTGTCATTTACTTTATGACGATACTGATTGCTATTGCACTTTTTTGTCATTGGTTTTGAACTCTTCTTGTGAAATCATTATTGTTACTACATTATTCACTACTAACATGACCATTAAGATGAGCGTTCTTATAGTTGATATAGGGATCATATAGGGATCAAAGAGGGTTTCGGCAAGCAGGGCTTAGGATTGAGGCTTCGTGATCTCGGGGTGCAGGGCTTTAGGGGGTTCGGGTTTCGGGTTCAGTGCCTTCTGTTGATATGGCCGCGGGCTTTCCGAGCTTTCCGGATGCAGGCTTGGAGGTTTAGGGGTTGTCGATGGGGTTACGAGAAAGGTACTTGTGACTATAACCCGTATCAGTATCAGGATTTATGACCCCACCTGTAACTACCCATGACTTCCAAGGAGGCTTTTCATGCAAGGGCTCTAGTAGGCATTCATGAGAGTGGTTTCGATGATATGGGCAGTGGCAGCCAAGGTGTCATGAAAACCAAGCTAGCTGACAGAAGTCGAAGAATGCTAAAGAAATTAATGACAACCCCAGAGAACATTGGCGATACAATTTTGGTGAAGAACAATGTGCGATGCAACAATGTGTTACTGCAACACAAACTTAGCAACAGCAGCAGCAGCAGCAGCAAAAACAACAACAGCGATAATGGTTGCAAGAAGGACACCAGGAACAAGTATCAGCAATAAAACACGGCCAACAGCTCAGACACCTCGAGTATCATTAACGCGAAGTATAGTCGTAACAGTAACCACGCATCTTTGACTACTAATCATATGAAACCTGCTCTGGGAATACCACTGGTGCCAATGATACCAAAGATTGGCATGCGCCTTGTACTTTGAGGCCGATGCTTCTGTCGGATTTCAAACTCTAAGCACCCCTGCACACTGAACCGAGACATGGTTTTGGGTTTTTCTTAGTCTTATTCGAGATCTAGATACGTAACCGAAATCTACTCGCGCACCTTGCCCACTGCCACAGGCGCCGTGGAGTCCAATCGCACCTCCCAGGGCTCTGAGAATTCCTACTGCTCGGGAATCATTGCTGCTGGCCTCGTGTCGACATTTCTTCTACGTAACCTGCCTTGTCTGTAGTCGTAGTCATCGTCGTCGAAGCAGCAGCATCAGCAGCAGCAGCAGTTGTAGTGGTGGTACTGGAAAAGCAGCAGCAGCAGGAGGAGTAGTAGTTGTTGTTGTTGAGGGTGCAGGAGTAGCGCAGGAGTAGTCGTCGTCATCGTCTCCACCAGCATCGTCCTAGCAGCAACAGCAGCAGCTGCAGCTGCAGCACGAGAAAAGCCTCAGTAACAGCAGCAGTTGCCCTCTTACAAAAACTGCTAAGTCCTGAGGCTGGAATACCAGCATCGTTAAGCGGGATTCCGTCACCATAGCCGCGGCTGACAGAACAGCACGGACGGACTACCACCTGCCTTGCCGCGCTTCGCGTCCTGAAAGGTGCCCAGGGGAACCGGCCTTGGAAAATAGCACAGGGTTTAGGGTTTAACCCGCGAAACACACGAACCCGGCATGTGCGGGGAGCTTTGTTGTGCTTCATTCCGTTTCTTATACCAAATAACACTAGCAATGCGAAAGTAATAGCGATGCAAGAAACTGTCACGGTAAAACATGTGATAGCCAAAAACACATGCAGTCGCAAGACCAAGAACAAACATGCCCAACAGCCCACGGGTCCCAGCAGTTTCAGCATTTGCGGGCTTCGGATGCATTGTTCTGAATTGCAGGGCGCCCTGTAGGGATAAGGGGATTCGGGTTGGGCTGGGGATAGGGGTATGAAGTTTTAACAATTGAAGAAGGACGCAATTCAGGGCAAAGAGCCAGTGCTCTTCCCAGGGCTCCGGTAAAGACGAAGCATACGAACTCGATTTCCAGAAACCCTTGACTTTCATGGCTTAGGGTTTCTACTCCTGGTCGGGATAGTACTATTCCTTCTTGGGTTTATCCCATGAACATATAGAGTGCTACCCAACTATGACGAAGGTTTAGGGTTTGGGCTAGACTCTCGCAGTTGCTTCAAGCTCCAGCGCCTATCCCTCTACGCACTCCCTCCGTGTTCCTCACACTCCTACTCACAGCCAGGACCATAATGATAAGCTTTAGCCTAAGCCCTACACCAAAACCCTGAAGACCCAGATCCCAAATCCCCAAAACCCTGAAAGCATAGGCCCAACATCCTAAAGACCCACAAGAACCCCAGAAAGCCCACATTCAAAATCTTTAAAAGATCCCAAACCACACAGGACGGAAAGCCAAACCCAAAATCCCAAACCTAAACACTAAACCCCTAAACCCTAAACCGCCCTGAGACTTCGAGCCATGAAGTTCCAAACTTTCGGAAGTCCAACGCACGGGACCCCGGCGCCGGTCGAGGTCTTGCCGGATCCCTTGGCGGGCTCTCCGCCGTGTCCTCCGTCTTGGACTGTTGGGCTAAGGGCTTTAGGGTGGGGGGTGTAGGGCTTCTGGCTTTTACTGCTAGTGCCTCATTTACAGCTACACGAGCAAGTTCTTGCGGTCCACAGTTAAAACAAGGTGTTACGCCATACCGGCGTAACTGACCGTCGCCATTATGTAGCACCACCATATCCTTGATGCTCGACCCGAACGATTGGCACAATGGCAAGCTCAATTCCACAATAACCCTAAACCCTAAACCAATCCCCTCATCTCGTGCCTTTTTCGCATCTTCCAACGCCAACGGAGGAGCCTAGCCACAGAAAGTCTGGGCTTCACGGTTTAGGGGCTTAGGGTTTAGGGTCTGGGCTACAGCAGTAGAGTGTTGGGATCACATAGTCCAGGAATGCTGGCCAGGAGCCGATATCACGCTGATCACTTTGAGACACCATTGCCTCGGAATATATGCCTGCGAGGTGATGGGTGCTGGCGTTGGTTGGTTTGTCCTGTCTACTGCCACTACCTACCTTGGTCACTGTCCTTGCAAGGGGCGATGAGTACTCTCAGCTGTTGCTACTGCTACTTGTACAGCTAATGCTGCTGCTGGGGTTTGGGGGTAAGGTACCACCGCCCGTGCGATGCTCAAGACCGACTCCAAGAATTAACACATCGCGCTGCTGCCCTTGCAGCTGAAGTTACACCAGCTGCTGAGTCTACCACCGTCGTCCATGCTAGCATTTAGGGTTGAGGGTTTAGGGTAACCGGACTTCATCACCTCTACGAGCCAATCTCTATGAGCAAGCACATCGAGATCGTTGCCGCGGTTGCTGCTGTGGACGCAGATGCTCGAGGCCCCGACGGCTTCAGCCTCCTCGGAGGGCCACAGCGATGGAAGAGAGACTTTGGGTTTGGAATCAGGGTCTAACCGGGCTAACCCTAGACCTCAAGCCTCTTCACGAATCAGCACGCTTGGGACAACGGTGTCTTGATTAGTACCAGCAGCTGCCGCAGCAGAAGCAAGGAAAGAGGTAGTCGTAGTCCCAGAAGAAGAAGCAGCAGCAGGCGTAACAGTACTAGTCGTCGTCGTAGTTGTTGTCGTTGTAGTCGTGGTGAGGGGAGTACCAGTAGTGATGGGAGGAGTTGCAGTAGTAGTAGTAGTAGTAGTAGTAGTAGTAGTAGTAGTAGTAGTAGTAGTAGTAGTAGTAGTAGTAGTAGTAGTAGTGTAGGAGTAGGAGTAGGAGTAGGAGTAGGAGTAGGAGTAGTAGTGGTAGTAGTGGTTGTAGTGGTAGTGGTGGTAGTGGGGGTAGTAGTGGTAGTAGTGGTAGTAGTGGTAGTAGTGGTAGTAGTGGTAGTAGTGGTGGTAGTGGTAGTAGTGGTAGTAGTGGTGGTAGTGGTAGTAGTGGTAGTACTGGTAGTAGTGGTGGTAGTGGTGGTAGTGGTGGTAGTGGTGGTAGTGGTGGTAGTGGTAGTGGTGGTAGTGGTGGTAGTGGTGGTAGTGGTGGTAGTGGTGGTAGTGGTGGTAGTGGTTGTAGTGGTGGTCGTGGTGGTAGTGGTGGTAGTGGTGGTAGTGGTGGTAGTGGTGGTAGTGGTGGTAGTGGTGGTGGTGGTGGTGGTAGTGGTAGTGGTAGTGGTAGTGGTAGTGGTAGTGGTAGTGGTAGTGGTAGTGGTAGTGGTAGTGGTAGTGGTAGTGGTAGTGGTAGTGGTAGTGGTAGTGGTAGTGGTAGTGGTAGTGGTAGTGGTAGTGGTAGTGGTAGTGGTAGTGGTAGTGGTAGTGGTAGTGGTAGTGGTACTGGTACTGGTAATGGTACTGGTAATGGTAGTGGCAGTGGTAGTGGCAGTGGTAGTAGTAGTAGTAGTAGTAGTAGTAGTAGTAGAACAAGTAGTACAGCAAAAGCAACAACCGCAACTACCACCACCGCAACCACAGCTGCAATCACAACTATAACCACCTCACAACAACCACAAAAAAAAAGATACATGCAGACCACGACAACCACAAGCAAAGCGACCAAAATACCATTGTCATCGCAATCATTATCTCCATTAGCACCATCATCACCATTACCACCGCCATCATCATCAAACTGCTGCATCATCATTGCCATCATGACCATCACCACCACCATCAACAGCATCGGTCATCCCTCCTGTTTTTCTTCGTATTCACCCGTCATCTTCATCTTCCATCGTTCTCATCTCCATAACTCCTCACTTGGAGGGTCGGGGGACTTAGTAAGTAGGTAGTAAGTAGACTTATAACTACCCTAAAAGGCTAAAATGACCAGTTACTAAGTCCCCCGACCCTCCAAGCAGAAGCCCGATACTGCATGCAGCTCCTTCTCCTCCGGGTATTCGTATTGCACCCGCGGCTCGAACCTCGAAAGCTTCAGAGCTGTAGGATTTTGGGGTCCAGATTTGTGGCTTCAGGGTGTCGTGCTATTGCGCAGGAATTCAAGGGCAGATCCTGCCATCTGGAACTTTGGGATGCAGGGTTCACGAATTCAATCATGATCCAAAAGCCCTCAACCCTAACTAAACTCCAAGCCCTCAACCCTAAACAATAAACCTTACACCCTGAACACCCCAAAACCCACATACCCCACCCCTCCCCCCACCCTTAAACCATGAACCGTAACCCCATACCCCCCCTCAGCCCGCCCTCCTCCCCCCGTTTCACAAGAAACAGAAAAAAAGAGAAACCCAGGAAGCCGAGTTCCCCCGCTGGAACTCGGAGCCCTTCAGAATGTCCTGCAGACACTTTCAAGGCGTTCAGGGCTTGGGGTTCAGGATTTTGCTTTCGGACTTTAGACTTTGGGCGGCGCTGTGCTGGGACGAAGGGGGCCTATAGCTGCCCGCATGTGACGTCCTGACAACTACAGTAGGGTTTCAGGTTGTAGGGTCGAGGGTCTTGGGTTTTATGAGCGATGTAGGGAATGCAACCTGATGAGAACAGCAGTTGGGTAGCAGAACCGGTAGTCAGTAAATCAGTGCGTGTACTTGCAATTTGCAACAGGTCGTTGGACGTGCACCGCAGGTGCGCAAGCGAACTCAACCGGTGAGATCCGCTGCAATAATAGTCTAGTACCTCGGGCTCCACCCTAAACCTTCAAAAGCCAATCCAACAATATCTAGAGCTCTACGATACACCAAAAGCGTCAACAGCACTCTAAACCCCAAAACCTCAAGCACGAAGACCACAATGCCCAAACACGCGAACCCTAAACCCCCAACACTACACTCTAAGTCCCCGAAATCCCCAAACCTCCCATACTACCCTTAAAGGAACCCTAGAACTCCAAACCTTCTCCTGAAAGACTCCGCGCAGTCTCCGGACCCTAAACCCTACCCCCTAAACTCTTAACATCTCTAAACCCCAAACTTCAGACCTAAACCCCAAACTGCAAACCCTAAACCCTAAACCCTAAACCCTAAACCCTAAACCCTAAACCCTAAACCCTAAACCCTAAACCCTAAACCCTAAACCCCAAACTGCAAACCCTAAACCCTAAACCCTAGGTCCTCATCTTTCTCCTGCCAGAGAAATCGGCACAGGCGCTCCCCCACGCTCGCAGGCAGCTCCTGGGGAAAAAGTAGAGGTCCATGTGGTTCTATTCGTTTTAGGGGGTAGTTATAAGTGCGGTTATAAGTCCCCTTAAATGGGTTATAAGTACAGTTACCCTACTTATAACCCCACTTACAACTACCCATGAACCTCCAAGTAAGGGTTGGGGTTCAGTTAAGGCTTGGGGTTTGAGGCTTCAGCTTCAGGGTTGCTTTCATTCAATGCTTACCAGGTTTTGTTTTCAGTGTATGTCTGAGGAGTTGTGAAATTTAGCTTCTGGATGTCTGTATTTAGGGTTTAGAGTGTTCTTCTTGAAACCTTTTGATCGGTTCGTGTAAGACTTTCAAGCTTAGGACATACTTGGAGGTTCATGGGTAGTTAGAAGTGGGATTAATTATAAGTCCCCGAATATGGGTTATAATTAAAAGTTACCCTACCTATAGCCCCACCTGTAGCTACCCATGAACCTTTGATGAGTTGCTGCTCTTAGGGCTCCCAAAAAGCACATAAGCAAAAATGAGGATAGGGATATCCGGGATATCCCATATAACTCCCCTTATAATGAAGCCCAATCAGTTAGGGATACCCCTATAAAAGGCTTATTATGTGCTTCTTTGGGTCCCTAGCTCTTAGGTCGGCCACCCAGAGGATCGAACACGGTGGGCCTTGATGACCAGGGACGGTGTTTAGTGTACATTACGCGGTTTTCTGACAAGATGTATACATGCTTTTCTATGTGCAGAGACGATGATGGGATATCATTACAAACTTGCGACCGCGTATCAGGATTTAAGGGTGAAAAGACAATACGATTATTAGTAGTAGTATTATTTTGTTAGAAAAATTAGTATTATCATTACTATGATTATTACTACTATTAAAGCAAGCACCATGTGGTTACTCTGAGTTATACCGGGTTCAAGGCTCAGGTTTCAGGGTTCAAGGCTTCGGTTTTGGGGTGGCTTTCTGTTTCAGGACACATGGCCGATGCTTTGGCTGCTACCAACCTTGATTACCACGGCCTTTTGGCCTTTGCCCTTCCCCTACTGCCGTCCGTGATTATGATGATGATGATGGTTTGCTGGAGTGTGGTGACTTGCCGTGGCAGCGGGTTAGATGATATTGACCGCCCCATCGCGGACCCTCCCCTGTAGGCCCCACTGAGGCCTGACCATCCTTGCCCCGACGGACAGGCTCGTCGTTGTTGTGCGGGTTCCGGATGTGGTCAGTTTGTGCCTGGGTGGCACCATTCGCATCATTGTCGTCGTCATCATCGGAATGTCTCAGACCGAGGTCACACCACCTTCAGGTGTAGCCTCATGATTGCGGATGTGTGAAATCTACCTCGACCGCTCTCATACTCACCAGGCGGAGTTTACTTGAAGCCGCACCCTCCACACCTGCCGCCGGATGTGCAGAACCTTCATTCCTAAGTTCAACCTCCCCATCGAAAACTTAAATGGCGAAAACCGCCAACGCGGTGCCCCCCGAGGGCTCAGCAACTCCGACTGAGCATTGCTTCAGCCAGTGAACCTGGTCACAGACTCAAAGATTTCTGCGATAGATTCATGACCCTGTAAACTCAGGAACCCCGGGCTGGAGCAATGATATAGAAGCCTTAATAATCATAACAAGGCACCCCCAAAATAGTATGGGTAATTCTTCAGGCCCCTATAGTAGCCCACTCCTGCACAGCTATTTTCAAACCGCAAAGCTTGCAAGCCGTGCCTTGGGTCGACGAGACACCGCCATCTTGAACTCAAGAAGGACAACACAGCAGTGCTGAAAACTTATGCCTTAAACCGTATAACATAAACACTAACAACCCGGTTTACCTGTTTACCCCAACGAATTCTTGCTTATGTACACACTTGGCTGCGTCGTTGGCAGCCACAAGTAAACTTCCATAGCTGATTGATTAGAACAGCTCTCCGGGCTAGCATTGCACAGAGGATGGTACAAGGGCACCAATTCAGATCCCCATATCACCGGTGCAGGCCAGGGAAGCTGCTCACGTAGCGAATGCTGATATCCGGGAAGCTCGTCACAAACTTGACCTTGGTCCCTCTCAGGAAGGAATCAAAAAAATGCATCCTTGTTGCTTTCTCGAATACTAGCACAAACACATCCAAAGGGTCCCGAAGATTGGCCAAGTAACCGTGAAGTCTGGAAAGCTTGAGACCATCTTCCACTCCCCACAGGAGTGCGGAAACGAGCGCACGATCTTGACATCCAGGTCCGGAAAGCTCCGCACCACCTTGACAGTGATGTCCGGGAATGAAGTTACCTCTTTGACCTCCGCAGAGGGTCAGAAACTTCTGCAGTTTGCTTCAACACACGGTCACAGGATGCGGGCAGGAGAAAGTCCAATGTGACTGTCGGAATCATAAACTTGCAGCTCGGAGTACATCCCGTCTTCATCCGACAACAGACTCGACCGAAATTTACCCTGACCCCCGAAACCTAAAACCATAAACCCTATAAACCTTAATACCTAACCCCCTTTATACCCCTACACCCCCAAACCTTCATGCCAAAAATTAAAACCTAGCCCTCTGAAGCCGTACGGTTGATGATATAAAAATCCCGCATTGCCTTAAGGACCCTAAAGTATGGGAATGGTACATTCCTTATTGTGGGTAGTGCAGGATTTATATCATCAACCGTAGGGCTTTGCTGGGCCCGGCCCGGCGCCTCCCCTGCCAGGTAGATGCCCTTGAAGTAGCAAGAAGAGAGGTTTTGCCTGGCGGAGCTTTTAGGGGTTTAGGGGTTTGGAATTTGGGGGTTTGGGGTTTAGGGTTTGGGGTTTAGGGCTTTAGGGTTTTATGGTTTTGGGGTTCAGGGTTTAGGGTTAGAGTTCTAGGGTTTTGGGGTTTTGGGTTGAGGGTTTAGGGTGTAGGGTTTTGGGTGTTGGGGGCTTGAGGCTTCGGGCTTTGGGGTGCCGGGGTTGGGGTGTACTAAGTGTTCCGAATTCCTGATTTGTGCAGGATACGAGAGCTAGAACTTGCTGGCAGTGGGGAAGGTCGACTTTGGCCTGAGAGCAGATACTATGACGGGGACCGTAATAATTAGAATAGGGCTTTGGGGTATACAGTTGCCGCCAAACTCCAACAAAACAAAATTACAAGTACGTTGGTAGGGGTCTACCTTGTGCTTCAACAGGGAAGTCTGAGTTTAAACTTGGTTTTACAACGACAGGATTCTGTAATCTTGGGTAGCAGGCAGGGAAGCCAGCACTGCGGTGAGAATGCTTGGACACCTAGCGTAAGGCCTAAGCAAGCTACAAAACCTCGGGACACAATCTTACTCGCAGAGGTCGTCAATCAGCCCAAAACCAAAACTCCCCTAACCCCCAAACCCTAAACCCCTAAAGCTCTAAACCCTAAAGTCCGAAGCAGGCATGCTTCCCTGAAAGACGCTGAAACCACCGCAAAACTCCCGATGTACGAAACCCAAGCATATAGGGGCCTGATAATTAGACTAGGGCTGTGGTGCATATTTGTCCGAGTTTCTGAAGGAACGCCAGAATGGTCCGTATTGGTAACTGTTAAAGCCCCTATATCACCATAAAACCTCACGCCGTGATGACCTCTGCGTCTCCAGCGTGACGTTGTGTCGACGCTGGAGAGCCACCAGTGCACAGGATGTGCCTTCAGGTGCTGGCGTTGCTGATGCCCCTTGTTCGCGTCATGCATATTGCCCGCATCTCGTCATCATTATCAGTATCAGTTCATCGTTGTTGCTTCTACTGCCCTAAACCCAGAACCTTAAACGTCCCTAAACCCTAAACCCCCGCATGACTAAAGCGCTACAGCGATGTATACACGGCCCAAGCTTGGCGAAAGCTGCTTTCAACGTCCTCGTCGTCTACTTCTGAGCATTCCGCCTCAGTATGAAGGCCGAATGCCCCTTATCTATCATGGAACCCTTATAACAACCTTATAGAACCTTGATAGAGCCCTTTAAAAAGAAACGGAGCCCCAAATCCAAAACCTTCATAGACCCTTTGAAAGGAACCCTAAAAGGAACCCTAAACGTTAAACCCTGAACGCCCATAGCCCAGGAAGCGCAAACCCTGCCTGCTCCTCCCTCGCACTCGTCGTCCTGCCGCAGCACGTCTTCGTGGGCACCGGCACCGGCGGCCAGCAAAAGGAGGAGCCAGAGCAGGCTCATTGGGTTTAGGGTGTGGGCCCTTTAGGGTTTAGCTCATGGGGGTTTGTTTTAGAGGGTTTTGGTTTTAAGGCCGTTTAGGGTTTATACAGGGTAGGGCTCTTCGGGCCGTCTTGCATGCCAGGAATGGGCTTGAGACGGCTGCGGAGAAAGAGCTTCATGGTTTTAGGGCTTAGGGTTTTGATCCGGGATTCACGATCGGCTCGCAGAGTGCACAATTGGGCGTCGCGAAGAACGTTAAGGACGACTGGCGTGGATGGACTTTACAGTCGGAATGGGCGTATGCCACATGGGAGTTTCCGAAAATAGGGGACCCCTAATATGGTACCCTAAATAATAGGATCTTGCTATTATAAGGACTCCAAACTAATGTACCCCTAATTTTCGAAAACTCTCACATGGAAGAACAGCTGTGCAGAAATGGCTGATGCTGTCTGGGTCTCGACGAACTTGATGAAAACTGTGCACGTGTATCACACTGGCTGTTAAGCATTCTCAGGACGCTGCTGTTTCCCATTGGGTGAACAAAGCGCATGCTCCAAAAACACAAATTTGTTGCACATGTGTCACACTGAAGCTTGTTATGCTGAAAGTTCGTAGATCATCGCTTTCGGTAAAGACGCACTGCAACCATCAACCCCATGGGAGAGTTTGTGCATGCCGCCAGCCTTGAAGCTGTGCCCCAGTCGACTGGAGAATTCTCCCCAGATGCCTCCACAAGCAAGTTTACATTGTTCACTTGGAGTGTTATAAGCGAGTTATTAGTAGGGTCGCCATATGTATAGAATTATAGAACATATTGCGTACAAACCCCACTGGTGGCTGAGTGCGTCGTCGTGGACATGTGCGTGGTCGTCATTATCCTGCTGATCGCTGTGGCGGCGCTACTGGCGCGCCGTGGCACTGGCAATTTCACTGGGGGCGGGGGCAATGGTGGCGGCGGTGCTGCACTGGCCGGTGTTAGTGGCACTGGTGATGGTGCTGGGGCTGTTTTCGAAGGCTGCAGCAGAAGGCTAGCTGCGAAGAGCAGCAGCAGCAGCACACAGTAGGTGCATCAGCAGCCATGGCCCAATCCTCCTCCCACGCCTGCCTCCGTCGTACATGCACATGGGTGGTTGTCAAAATTAGGGTCCCTTTTTTGGGTACCCTAAATATTAGGTGCCGTATTGTAATAGGGACCCAAAAAAGGGCACTAATTTTGACAACCACCCACATGAACTTCTGATCCCAATACGTGCCTGGGAATAGCAGGTCATCAGGCTCGTCCACCATGCGCGCATACCTGCCGGAGGGACTGCAGCGCATCACAAAGCAAACCTGTCGTCCCCCAGAAGACTACACCCCCCCCTCAGAACCATAATGAAACCTAGTATTTGTTTAAATATTCCCTTGGATTTTATGTGACCAGAAACTTTTTAAACACTTCCTAAGCAGACTAAACTAAAAAAATAAAACTCCTAAGGAGACTATAGCCCTGAACTCAGAACCCCTCAACCCCAAGGTCTGCGGGCTCGAATCCCCCCCTCCCCCCTAAAGGGAACTCCAGAAAGTTGGAATATGGTTTCAGGGTAGGATACCCTATAATTTACCATGAAGGGTTTAGGATAATCATATTCCAACTTTCTGGCTTTTGCCCTATAGAAGAAACTCTGGAGCTCTCCCGACAGAGCACCCCAGGAAGGTCCGACTCTCGGCCGAGGTGAAGATCCTGAGCTGGGGTCTAGGGCTTCTTTTTTGGTTCAAGGGTTTAGGGTTTTAGGGTTTTAAGGCTTAGGGTTTAGGGTTTAGGGCTTATTTTTTGGTTCAAGGGTGTAGGGTTTAGGGTTTTAGGGTTTCAGGGTTTAGGGTTGAGGGGCTTAGGGGTTTAGGGTTTAGGGTTTTAGGGTTTTGGGGATTAGGGGTTTAGGGTTTTAGGGGTTTAGGGTTTTAGGGCTTAGGGTTTAGGGTTTTTTGGTTTAGGGGTTACGAGTGTTTTGGTTTAGGGTTTAATATTTATTTTATGGTTTAGGGTTTAACGCTTTTTTGGTTTAGGGCTTGGGGTTTAGGTTTTTGGGGGTGAGGTTTTAGGGTTTAGGGTCCGTGGTTTGGGGCTAGGGGATTAGGGTTTAGAGTTGGGGGTTTAGAAGTGTGCAAAAGCTCTAAACCCAAACCTCGCGACCTAAACCCCTCATGCGTTGCTGAACCCAAACGAGGGAATTCTTCTTGTAGCAACACGACGACGACAATTAGGCCGAAAGCCAGCCGAAACCTTGAAGCTTCATTGCCCGAACCACCCAGAAACGACAAACCCTCATCAGTCCCTCATAATGTACTCATAATCACGTTACGATATAGCTTTCTAACATTTGCACGACATACAAGCCTAAACGTAACCATACACAAACGCAGGCCCGTACTTCGACGCGTTGTGTAAATAAACGCCCTTGGGAGCCCACAAAACCAAAAGAAAAAAAACAGAGAGGATCCTAAACCCTCAACTGCCGGCCGAGTCGCATAATGACGTGATCCACTTCTCGGAATCCCTGGCATGGATTCGCGGAATGTGCTGTTTAGCAACATGCCTCCGCGTCAACCGAATCCCGGAAAACCCCAAACCCACTAAACAAAAACTCGACCAAGAAGCGCAATCCAAAAGAATTGCAAACTTCGAGCCAAGCCCCACAAAACCCTGCTGAGACCCTGTCCAAAAAAAGCGAAACCAAAACCCCAAAGAAAGTCTCTTCCGCACTTCTTGGCCTGGCAGAGCTTTGAAGTGTTTCCGCTGCCAGTGGCCCAAATCCCCTGTCACTGCGACTTTCTCTGCGTTACAGCAGAGGGGTTCGGGTCGGGAAGGCTCCCGGCATGAATTTCACCTCCAGCTATGTCTAGGCTGCAAGACATAATGCCTCAAAGCCGCAACGAACGACACTTAACAAATCCTCTATAGCTTCTACTGTCCTAGGTTCTGTATGGATGACAGGACCTGGCCAACCCAATCAAGTCAACTTGTGTTCTTCGCTCACGGTTGTGACGGCAGGTTTTGGGCCACCGTAAACCAACCCTAAACCCTGAACCTTAAAGCCCTGACTAAGCCTTACCCTACACCTGAGCCCTGAAATCGAAAGCAAATCGGGCCATAGGCCCTAGGCCCTCAGAAGTCAAACCCGAAAACCGGATATCCTGCACAAGCCATGAGGGAGCTTCCGAAAATAGGGGACCCATATGTAGCACCGTAAATAGTAGGATCCTCATGATAAGGGCCCCAAGTTAAGGTACCCTAATTTTTGGAAAACCCCAAAAATGCACCTGAGCTGAGGCCAATGCCATTCGGAAATCTAAAGGCCCGAAAAACTTACTGTAAACCCTCAACCCTACTTGTCTTGAATACTCAGGTTTGATGGCGGAGGGCCTTGGGGTTTGAGGTTCAAGCCCTAGTAATACCTTTCCCTCAGTCTGCCCGGGGCTGCTACTAGAATTCGATATCCCGCCCAAAACCCTCAACCCGCTTCATCATGCTAGCTCGGCTAGGTCCTTACACTTGTGGTAGCCTAACCTTGTTTCGTAAGAACCCTTGTAGTTCCCGTTGGACGGGTCTGCAATAATTTGGGAACTCGATCAAGAAATCCTGGCCTTATCACCCCAATCTAGGACTCATGCAAGGAACCTAACCCATAGGCGAGACGAATAGAAGCGTACCATGATCAAGAAGCCCGACTGCATCGGAGCAGCACAAAACAGATGGCTTATTTATGGGCCACTATTGGGCACGTAATCGTTAGAACAGAATTTTGGGGTACAGTATATTATTATAAGAAACCCCCCGAAAATAGTATTGGTAATTATCTAGTTCTTGGCATCCATGAATGGCAGCAGCAGCAGCAGCACAATAGTAGTAGCAGAGGTCGTCGCCGTAGGAGTAAGGGGAAGAGGAGGCGAAGGATAAGGCGGCCGAGGCGGAGCTGTAGTGGCATTAGCAGGGTCAGGTGAGTATGCAAGAACAGCATGAACAACTACAAGATTAAAAACACGTGCATAGCCAGACTTTGTAGGTGTTGCTTGTGGGTAGGAGCTGGCGCCAGCCCCGGATCAAGCAGGCATGCTCCATGATGCAGTGATTATGGAGATTTCATTTCTTCGAAACGGCTTCGGCTAGCGGTGCTGCAAGACATCATGCAGGGCAGCTGTAAGCACTGCAGACCAAGCGCTTCCAGGCTAGACCTCGATAATTGCTTACTGCCTTCGTACACTGGTAGGCCTGGCCCTCTTCTAAGAGGACAAGGGCTCGATCTTGGTTCTTCTCTTGAATGCAGCGCACTGAAGGCGGGAGCATCCTTTTTGACAGATCGGCTATGTAGCTACTTGGAGGCGGCCCGCCGTACCCATCACCCATGGCCCCTAGCTTGAGATCTAGCTGGAGCTGATCTGAGACGATAAGGCAGTAGCGGCTAAAACGGCACTGGGCTTGATCCTGCTGGACCCACAAGGGATGCGCTGCTCACACAAGACCAGACCAGTTCAGTAACTTGCGTGCACGCAGCTTCGTTTCGGACTTGCTTCCTCTGCCAGCACCGGCACGAAGCTTGGCCGAGTGTGCGGCTAACCGCAGCTCGTCTACCAAGCATTTCCTTTTCCGGCCCTGCTTCTTGCAAGGCAAAACTGAAAAGCAAAACATGGCAAAACGAGTCGACCAAATCGACGAAACTCTCTGAGATTTACCCTAAAACACACCCTGAAATTCGAAGGGATGCCATGCCTTGAACCCGTGACTTCGGCTTAGGGATCTAACAGACTACCAAACTCTTGCTCGTAGCTGTGGTTCAAGTCAGAGGAAACAGCTTTCTTCATGTCAAGCTTCGGCCTTCTAAACCGTAAATCCTTAACCCAGCAGTGTCATAGGACCCTAGCCCTTGTAGTACCCCTTGGCAGTAACCCGTATACTTCAACAGGTCACTGAAGCTTTCTCAGGCCTTCGCACGTTAAAGGAAGCCCTCAGAGACTCCAATATCCCTTAATTACGGAATATTCCTTAAATCATATTGAGGGTCCTACTATATTTTAAGGCATATTCCTTAATTAAGGGGTATTGGAGTCTCTGGGCCCTCAGACTTCGAGGGGCAAACTCACCGTAAGCCCGCCTTGCAGGCGGAGATCTGGAGGTTCCGGAGGTTCCTGCTTTTGGCGGGTTTAGGGTTTAGGGTTTAGGGTTTAGGGTTTAGGGTCTAGGGTTTAGGGTCTAGGGTTTAGGGTTTAGGGTTTAGGGTTTAGGGTTTAGGGTTTAAGGTTTAGGGTTTAGGGTTTAGGGTTTAGCCCATAAGCAAATAAGTAGTATAGGGATGTTCCATATAAGCCCCCTTAAGGAAGTTCCTGCTTTTGTCAACGCGGAAAAGGAAGGACCCTTAATGGACCCCTATAATGGGCTATATGATGGGTATATAATAGGTATAGTAAGGGTATATACCTAGGGGTCCTTATTAAGGGTCCCTCCTTTTACCCTTGGATTTTGGCTTGGACCCCAAATAAGCACATAAGCAAAAAGTAGTATAGGGATGTCCCATATAAGCCCCCATAAGGAAGCCCCATAAGGTAGGGATAGCCCTATGAAATGCTTACGCTTACGTGCTTTTCGGGTGCCTATTTTCTTGGCTTGGGCTTCCTGGCAGTCAGGGCCTAGGCTTGAGGTTTGGACTATTTCAGGGGTAGGGGTTACAGGTTTCATATAGGGGACTGAATGGTTAGAACAGGATGAACAGGCTTTTGAAACAATACTAAAACATGGTAAGGAACCCCAAGGAATGTTATTGGCAATCATTCCTAAATCCCTATAATCATGATACCCTACCAATCAGTTGCAAACATAAAGAAAGCACGCACAACGTGCGGTTCTACATGTTAAGGCCGTGACACTAGATAGACTCAGACTTTAGAAGGGCCCCCACCTGTAATAGTGGTATAATAGGAATATAATAGGGCCCTAATATAATCCCTATAGTCACTATTACAGGGTGGGGGCAGCTTCTAAACTCTAGGTTTTAGGATCTCATGCTGCCAAGGTTCACGGAGCGCATGACCTCGGAACAACTTGGGTGCGATGGTCAAAAGCCAAGAGCACCACCAATCAAAAGTAATGTGTTTCCGGTGAAATTTAGACCATGGAAGTCACCATCGGAGATGACTTAGAAATGCCAGCACTCCTTCTTCATGCTAGTCTGGATTCGAAAAGCTACTGTCAACAGCTCGTGAGCAAGCTGTGGGCACTGGGCGTCTGGCGAAAAATCGGCACTTCCCTGAATCAGGGACTCTATGAATGGGCAGAAAGCTTACGGACCTAGGGTGGGTGCAGCTTCGACAGGGAATGATCGACGTGTTCACCAAGCGTCTCCTGACAAGCCCTCAACGCCCGCCTGCAAAAACAAAAGCTCAAAACATGAATTCAAGAGAAAACTGAGTCCTCTGTGGAATTTTGGCCGTTACAGAACCTTTGTTACAGAACCCTTTGCAGAACCCCTAAATCCTGAACCCGAAACCCTAAACCCCAAACACCTAAACCCTAACCCCCCAAAACCCAAATTCCTACACCCTAAACCCTAAAACCCTAAGGCCTAAACCCCTCAAGCCCTAAACCCCAAAACCCTACACCCTAAACCCCAAAACCCTAAAACCCCATGCCCCAAACCCACAGAATCATCCACCCCGGAGCCGGCGCGCCCTGCACTGGCGGGGGGAGGCCCGGGATGGCGCCCAGCTCCGCTGTGGTGGAGGCCTTAGGCTTCCAGGGGCTTTAGGCTTTCAGGGCCTTAGGGGTTCAAGGGTCTAAGGGTTTAGGGGTTTAGGGTTTAGGGGTTTAGGGGTTTAGGGGTTTAGGGTTTAGGGGTTTAGGGGTTTAGGGGTTTAGGGTTTAGGGGGTTTAGGGGTTAGGAGTTTCGGGATTAGGGGTTAAAGGCTTAGGGGTTTAGGGGTTAAGGGTCTTTAGGGTTGCGGGAAATGTCCAAAACCAAGGTTTGATCCTTTGAGGGTTCTTATACGGGTTCCAACGAGGGGCTAGGAGTCGGAAAGTTTGAAGGTTTGTGTTTTGGAGTTGATGCCCAGGGAGCCTAGCAGACATTCAGCGGCTAGGGTGTTTGTTTTGCATGTTGTGCGGGCTCTTTTCCCTGCGCCAAAGTCTGGCGCCAGTAATTCATTGTTAGGAGGAGCCTGTGGGCCAGGGCTTTCACGGTTTAGTTTAGGTATTGATCAACAAATTGACGGGTGTTCAGGGCTGGCTGTGTCGCAAAGCCGCTTGGTTCATCATCACATGCAGCTTCTTTTCGCGCTGCTGCCATAAACCCGAAGCCTGACCTAACCCCTAGACCCTAAGCCCTAAACCCTTAGACCCTTGAACCCCAAAACCCTAAACCCGTAAACCCCACGGCCCGAAACCATAAGATCTCAACCCAAGCAGACCTGGGCTACTGGCCGTGAAGGAGATGTCCGGTGTCCTGCAGACTGCTTGTTGAGGGTTTAGGGTCGGGTTTCAGGGTTTAGGGTGATGGGTTTTCGGGCACGGACCAACATGCTTGTAGAAGCGCTGCAAGGGAGTCGGGACCTGGGTACCAATTTTTCAGCCCATCCTGGTACCTGTGTTGGAATTCCGGCTGCGCTGCCGCTGGGTTTTGGATTTCGGAGATGTTTGCAGACTGTTTTGGATTGTTTTGGAAAAGTAGTGGCACTTTGTGCGGCGGACTACATCGAAGTCTCATGCACGGTTTATGCAGCGTCATGCCCTTCTCTAAATAGCAAACCAGATCCCAGGTCCAGCTTTGGACGTTCAGTCGAAGATTCCGTAGTTTGTTGTTGCACTACGAGCTTAGGGTTTAGGGGTTGAGAGTTTCGGGTTTAGGGTTTAGGGCTCAGAGTGAAGCTGAAGCTCAGCATGCGGGGCTCCAGGGGCTCAGAAATTCATGACGCTTAGAAAGACTTCAACAGCAGCTCGACTTCCAAACTCTTGACCAAATCGTCAAGCTCGGGATTAGGGTTTAGGGGTTGAAGGGTTTAGGGGTTAGGGTACGCTAAAACCCTCTAAAAATCCTTATTCGAGCTTCGAGGGCTGCCTCCGGAAGTCGAAAGACGACAGCTTGACGTCCGCCGCTTTGGGCAAGAGGTGCCTCGGACCGAGAAAGCGATGGCCAGGACGACCATGACGACGATGGCGGCGATGATGGGTTTTAAGGGGTTTAGGGTTTAGGGTTTCGGGTAAAATTGTTTTAAAAAAGGGGTTTAGGGTTTAGGGTTTCGGGGATGATGATGATGATGACGATGATGATGATGACGATGATGAAGGTGACCGTAGTAGCAACATTGACAGATGTTATAAAGACAATGACGGCAGTCATCATGCGAATGGCAGCCATGTTGCTTCCATAACCTCTGTAGTAATGTCGCGGGGAATACGCATGGGCTACGACTGGAACTTATGGATGTGCACTGAGACGTCAAAATCGGGATCGTCGTCGCAGCAACAATGGCAATAGGGAGATAGCGAAGCCGTGGCAGTAGCAGGTAGCAGATAGCAGGTAGCAGGTAGCAGGTGGCAGAAGGAGGTAGCAGGTCGCAGTAGCCGCAGCAGTAGCAGTAGCAGCAGGAGCAGCAGGAGCAGCAGGAGCAGCAGCCGTAGCAGTAGCAGCCACAGGAGCAGTTATAGTCTGTGTTTTGGGGTTGTTTAGGGTGTCGGTTTGGGTTCTGGGCCCTGCCACAGAGAGGAAACTCTTCCTCAGCTCACGACCATGGGTATGATCCGACAAACGAGATTGAGAAAAAGACAAACATGAAATAGCAGTGCTGAGCACACCCTGAATGCTGGCATCATCTACGCAGGTACTCAGATCCTCCACAAATGATACACCCAGTACAACTGCTGCAGCAAGTTCATTCGCAAAAGCCGGTGAAGACCGGCCTACACTATCCTGGAACACCAAACAGGGCGTCTGCAGGCACACCCAAGATTCCAGCGCATTCTTGAGCAGTGGCTGCAAAAACCAGTCCGGCAACCTAGGCTGTTGGGTTTACTGCTTCCGGCTCTGCTGCAAAGATGATAACGACGATGACGATGAATGTATGGAGATAAGCCTTGATATCATGAGACGAGCAAGCATATTCGGCCGGGTCCTCAAGACGGTCACTGACATAGCCATCATCATGGCCGTCATTTATTGAAGGAGTGCGAGAATCGAATTCTAAGAGTGTCGAGTGCTGAGACTTTGCAAACTGATAGCACGCAGTTTTGGTGACCTGCCTCAATCCTTTGACTTTCCGATCTTAATTGGACAGTCGGGCTGGTTGCCTCGTCCACAACCCTAAACCCGAAGCTGAAACTCTAAATCCTAGACAACTGCAAAGACTCGAGTGCTCTGGTGTAAGCAGGCTGCTCTTCGACAGACAATCGAAGATCTGCAAAACATCAAAGATGATGACTCGTAAATCTCAAAACTAGTTCGCGCGCAGCCCTGCTAAACCCTGAACCCCGAACTCTCATAGAGCCCTTCTGAGCCCTTACAAAAGCGCAGAAGCTGCGCTGAACCCTCAAAGCCACTTAGTCCCCGAACTGCTCGGAGCCTTCGGGCCCCTGATGGCCTTTGTCAGGCCCCGGCACATCCGGCATCTTATCCTTGGGCCTGAGGGCTTTATTCAAAAGGGCGCTTATGTGGATTCATGACTGGGTTTTACAGGAATTCTAGATGGGCTTGGGGTTTGGGTTCAAGGTTGCAGGGTTCGGGCTTGGGAGAGCTGCGACACGTGCTGCTTCAACCGAAACTATGAGGCTTGGAATGGGCTTTAGGGGATTCGGAGCAAAGGCCTTCGCCTTATCTCCGCATGCCCTTCTTGGGCTGCTAGCTTAGCATGGTATCAGCTAGTCACGAGAGCCATCATCACTGTGTAAACCATAGCTGACCCTCATCACCATCATGATCGTCGTCAACAAAGTCACCGCAACTTTCGGCAACATCAGCATCACCACCCCAGTCACCGTCATCATGTTCATCATCATCGCCGCAATCAAAATCATCATTGTCATCATCACCATCACTATCATCATCATCATCATCAAATCCGTCAGCATCACTGTCGCCATCACCATCATCATCATGCTGATCAGCAGCAGCATCATCATCATCACACCATCGACTTGATAATCATCATGGTCGTCGTCATCGTCAGCAGCAGCACCACCACCGCCACCACCATCACCACCAGCACCAGCACCCAAAGCAATATCGAGTGCAATAGCATGGTCATAGTTCTAGCCTAAACCCTAAACCCTAAACCCTGTCCCACGCGAAGCTTTCTTAAACGACGGGAACTTGTTCAACGAGCTGTCCAAAGTGTCGGGGAGCCTAAAATTCAAGTGCAGGTCTCTGAGCCCTCGGCGCCTTAATAATTAGAGTAGGGTTTTGGGGCCCATTATATTATACTCATAATAAGAAGCCCCCAAAATAGTAGAGGCAATTAGTAAGGCCCCTATATTAGATTCTAGAGCTGCGTGCTTTGCGCCGAGTTCGATCCCCAAGACCGAAACCCCAAACTCGAAATTCTAAGCCCCAAAACTCCCAACGTTGGACCAACCCTAAACCCAAAACCCCCTAAACCCTAAACTGAGCCAAGGACAGCCTCTCGTGCCTGGGAGCGGAACGGTGCTGTATCAACTGGGGGGTCCGAGAAATTTAGGGCCCAAGAAGGTTACAGTAGGGCATAGGGCTTAGGGCTTCGGGGGTTTAGGGATTTAAGGGCTAAGGGGCTTAGGGTCTAGGGGTTTGGGGTTTGGGGGTTTAGGGGTTTAGGGCTTTAGGGGACTTCGGCTTCAACCTAAGACCGCCCGGACCTCCAGGCTTCAGGGCTTTGGGTGTACTTTGAACCACCAAACCCACGCTGTTGTAGGGTCCCTATAGAATGCGTATTACTTGGAGGGTCGGGGGACTCAGAAACTGGCTGTTTTAGGGACTTATCAGTACCATAACCCCAATTAGGCTTCCTTTTTGGGGGGTACTTATAAGTCTACTTACGACCTACTTACTAAGTCCCCCGACCCTCCAAGTAGGGTCCCTATTGAATGCGTATTAGGGTTTACACCAGCAACGTACAAAACCGCAGGTGACTGTAGTTCAAGGTAGGCTAGGCCATGCAGTAAGTAGGTAGTAAGTAGACTTATTAGTACCCTAAAAGGGACCCTAATTGGGGTTATGGTTCTTATGAGTCCCTAAAATAACCAGTTACTAAGTCCCCCGCCCCTCCAAGTACTCTAAACCCTAAACCCTATTCCCTTATGGAATCCCTATAGATCCCTTTAAAGAAACCCTATAGGAACCCCTTATAGTTACTAAGTCCCCTAAAGACCCTCCAAGTAGGGCTTTCTTCCATCAGCCCAGTTCTTCTCAATTGAAGCCGAGCTGTGCCCGAAGCTGTGGTTCAGGCTGTGGGAGGGAAAGCAATAGGAACTAGCTGTACCTAGCTTGCTTGAGGCTCACCCTTACACTAGATCTCTGAGGGTTTAGAGCTTAGGGCTTTGGGCCTAAACTTGGCTTAAACACCAGGCCTTTTAACCCGAAAGCCCCCAACTGAGAGCCCGGCGACATCCGGCACAATGGGCCGTATTTGCAGAAGCCCATACCTGTCGGCAGTCTTGCTCCCCCGAAAGAAGGCTTAGAGCTTGGGGCTTGGGGTTTAGGGTAGGGTTCAGGGTTTGGGGTTTAGGGTTTGGGGTTTGGGGTTTGGGGTTTAGGGTTTAGGGTTTAGGGTTCAGGGCTTACGGTTGAGGGTTTAGGGTTTAGGGTTTATCTCTTGGTCCCCATAGGGCATGCAGCTGCACTCTGCACCGCACTGGCGGAAGACTGCAGCCCCACATTCTGACACTCTGTGCTGGGGTCCCGCGCGATATCTGGGGCATTCCTGCCGCCTCCCGGGGTTTTTTAAGGGTTCCTTTAAAGGGGTATTACAGGGGCTTTAAGGGCCTTTTTTCTGGGGTTCCTTTAAGGGTTCCTTTAAAGATTTTAAAGGGGTATTATAGGGGCTTTAAAGGCTTTTTTTAGGGGTTCCTTTAAGGGGTATCATGGGGGTTGTAAGGGCAGGAAGAATGGGCTCCAGATTGCGCTGAGGGTCTCGTGATTGGGACTAGGAGCTTTGCCGACCCCCCTCTTCCCTTTAAGGCAAACCGTCAGAAACCCTAAACCCTAAACCCTAAACCCTAAACCCTGAACCCTAAACCTTAAACCCTAAACCCTAAACCTTAAACCCTAAACCCTAAACCCGAACCCTAAACCCTAAACCCTAAACCCTAAACCCTAAACCCAAACTCACAGGAGCTACGAAGGACTTAGCCCGGGAACTCTTAGCACTTAGTCGGTTTTGGGGCTTAAGGATGAGAGTTGAGGCCGAAAGCCTGGAGCCGGAAGCTTCAACTCCAAATGGTAGTTTCCGAAAATCAGGGGGGCCTTATTTGGGGTCCTTATAGTAAGGATCCTACTATTTAGGGTACTATATTAGGGTCCCCACTTTTCGGAAACTCCCAAATCTTCCCGACGACCCAGAGACTCCGAAACGCCTCAAATAAGGAGTCTACCCTAAACCATATTAGGATTCCGAATATAGTTTAAGGAATATACTTTGAACCGTATCAGGGTTCCCAATATAATTTAGTAAATATACCTTAAGCCATATTAGGGTTCCTATTATCATTTAAGGTACGTTCCTTGCTTAAGGGGTTTTGGAGCCTCTGGGGAAAAGCGTTGTGGGGAGCTGCAGTGGAGCATACCTAAGTTCTGCCACGCCGACAGCATTCCAAGCCCCCTGAAGGCCCATCGAAGCCACAACACTCTACACCCCAAACCCCTAAATCCTTCAAGCACATGAAACTCCAAAGGGCCTTGCAGCAGGGTTCAGAGATCCTAAGATACTAAACCGTAAACCCTTACAAACCCTGAACACTCCAAAGCTCTGCTACAAACGGACCCTAAACCTTTCACTTAAAACCATAAACCTTAAATCCTAAACCCCAAACATTAAACCCTAAACCCTAAACCTTAAACCCTAAACCCGGAGATCTGTCTTGGGTCTCCCAGCTCGCTGGCGGCCACATGCTTGAAGAGGCAGTCCGGGTCGTAGCACTTCCCGGTCTGAAGGAGGTGCCAAAAGAACTCCAAAGTAGGGTTGAGGGTTTAAGTGTTGGTTTCTTTTTTTGCGGGCCCTTTTCCGACTGCATTACCGGTATTTAGGGTTTAGGGGTTTTGGGTTTAGGGTTCATGGCTTGGGGTTTAGGGTTTAGGGATTTTGGGTTTCTGGGTTTTGGTTTCAGGGATTCACGGTCTGAAGGAGGTGTCAAAAGGCTCCAAGTTTAGGGCGCTGGATTGAATGTAGAGGCCGGAATCAGTACCAATATTATTCCAAAGGAAGGGTTCCTTTTTGTGTTTGTAGTAGACTATGCCGTAAACCCTAAACCCTAAAACCTAAACCCTAACCCCTAAACCCAAAACCACCATTTTGTTGGCTCGGGGCCCCAGGATTTGAGGTTAAGAGTTTTCTGGTTCTCTAGAAGCCACATGAAGGATCCGTCTTACCTTCGTAATACAGGAGCCTTCATAATTGCTATACTGCCATACTTGTGACAAGGAACCCCCAAAGTAGTATGAGTAATTGGTCCGCCCGCTATAGCGCCAACTTATGAAGCTCTCGAAGATGGAGGCCATCGGCTTCTCCGGCGTTTGGGGTTCCAGGGTCCGGGTGTTGGGCCTCGGCTTTTGGGATTTGGGAGTTTCCGAATATTAGGGGTACCTTCTTTAGGGGTCCTTATAATAAGGATCCTACTATTTAGGTACTATATTAGGGTCCCCTGTTTTCGGAAACCCCCATTTAGGGCTTGAGGCCTTAAGGCTTCAGGGTTGAGGATTTGAGGATTCGGGTTTGAAAATTCAGGTGTAGGGTTATGGCATAGCGGGTTGAGCGACTGGCTTTTCGCGGCATGGCGAACACTGATCTTTACGGTCGTGTTAGCAGTCAAACCCCTTTCAATCTGAATATTCATTGGGAAAATACTCGAAGCGCAGGAACATTTGTTTTCAGGTAATAAAAGCTTAATCTAATGATCAGTCTGGCACAATATGACAGCTCAACTGGGTCATACGAACATAGACGAACATAGCATCAATGTCAATTTCTGCTGCTGGCTTGTTGTGCATTCTGAAGCTGGGGCTCAGTTCCTTGGGATGCTTGGCCGCTTAGCCCGCGCATGACTGCACTCAGCAGGTTTCCTGCAGGAGCCCACACAGGCTTCAATCGGATCCAACAGCTGCCACCTGCTTCAACCCCAAATTCTTTTCCGAACACCTGCTCTGGACCCTCAGCTATCGAAACCCTCAACCCCTTTGAACCCAACCGGGCCTTTAGAAAGAACAAGCACTCCGGCATGCGATTCAGGTCGAACTGGTGCAAGTAATCGCACTTGTCACCTGAGCTTGTATATTATACCATGACCTTTCATGCAAGATGCTATGATTCTGACGCATTGACATACATGCAGCAATATATACAGATGCATGTGTATATGTATATATATATATACACATCTACACATATACACATATACACATACACATACACATACACTTACACATACACATAAACATATGTAGCTTGAATATGACGGGTCTTTAGTGTCGTTTCACCGCTGCGGCCTTCAAGTGCAGAAATTTGCATTGATAACCTTCTTCTCATCCTTCGTATGATGTGTTTTCAGGGTTCAGGGCTTTCAGGGTTTTCAGGGCCTCATCAGCGTATATCATGGTTTGTATGCAAAACACGTGGTGCTACTGGGGCTTTCAGAATTCGGGAGTGTTGGCGACACGCTCGGGTCGGAGCCTAAAACGCACAAAACCTTGCTAGCAATATTCCGTATGGGTATAAGTGTAGTCTAACATGTAATATACACCAAACGCCCTATTCTCGTCATCAAGGCCCATACATGAACGAACCAGGGCTCCCCGCCTTTCAACCCTACATTAACCCGAAACCCCAAACCCTCATTTCCTTAAACCCTGAACCCTGAGCCCTCATATCCTTAAACCCTGAGTTTAAACCCTCATTTCCTTAAACCCCAAACACTAATGAAGCGAGGCCCCTTGCCTTTCATGCAGAGGTTCTTCAGCCAATGGCGGCAAACCGTTCGGGAGCCTGCGATCGGAGGCAGGCCCGAGGCATCAGATCTGAGTTTACGGTTTAGGGTCCCTGCCTTGAGTTTATGGTTTAGGGCCATGAGGGTTTAGGGTTCGAGGCTTAAGGATAGGAAGGTTTAGAGCTGAGGGTTTCTGGATATGAAGGCCTAGGGTTTAGTAAGGTTTAAGGTTTAGGAGTCTGAATATCAACCGACAACCCGAATTCTAGCAACGTCTGGAACTTGAGCCTACAGCTAGTGACTTGAGCCTACAGCTAGTGTTGAGGGTTTATGAGCCTGCGGCCTTGACAAGCACTTTCCCTGATGACGGCAGGGCTTAGACCAGGATGAGCTGGTTTGGGGTTTAGGTTGGAAGGTTGCCTTCAATCGCTTCTGAATCGAATTGCTGCTGCAAATCGCTGCTTTGCTGCACTTCTGGCTCCATGTTCCCTGATTCTTACACTCTTGAGCGATCGGTAGTATGTAGGCAATTTCCTATATTTCTATACACCAGGTTTTGAATGCAACCGAATGTACCTTAGTTCTCGCCTGTTTTTTTCACTGGCAAGGTTGGCTTATGACTGGAATGCCTCCGCGGTTTGTGGTATTTGGGGTTCGCGGTTCAGGGCCTGGAAGTTCGTTGAAAGTTTGCGGGGCTCGTGCTAGAAAGATGGCACTTCAATGCTGCAGCATTCGAGACGTTAAAGCACCACAGTTATCCCCAAACCCTGAAACCTCAACTCGTTTCCAAAATTGGATACTCCCGTAATTATACCCAAGCCCCAAACCCCCGACACCCTGAACCCTTCTAACCCCCCTGTTGGACTCCATACTCCCCATCACCACAGCGGGGTCCTCGATTCAGAGCCCCTTCGGCAGAGGTCAAGCCTTCGGCCTTAAGTGTAGGGTTAAAGTTGAAAATTTCATGGGGTTTACGATGTACGGTTTAGGGTTGTAGGGTTGCGAGCGGCATGGGCAGGAATTTCGTTGGAACAGACGTGGAGGGAGACGGTTGACGGGTTTTCGGGTCAGGCTTGACATATCTCCTATGCTCGTAACCTCAGGAAACATCAATGAAAGCCCCTTACAGCGAACCCTCGCAACAATGGCCCCTCAGTTGGCTATGGGTCAGGGTAGACCCAAGCACCTAACAGCCGAAGCAACAGCCGAAGCCCTCGCTAAGGCTACCCTTTCCGCTTATCCGGCGTCGAGTTCCTTGGAAACCTATGAGATTAAGCCAGAAAGCCGAAAATTCAAACTCAGACGCACTCGAACTCCAAGCCCAAACCAAAAGCCCTGAAACCCTGAATTCGCAAAACAAACAAGCCCTAGAAGCTCTTGAAGATATTCGCAAAACCCTGCGAACCCAAGATAAAACCCTAAACCCTCGGAATCCCTCTTTGAAACCCCTAAGCCCTATTCTATGAAACCCGAAGACCCTTAAATAATCCGATTTGAAAGCCCTCGTCAAAAAGGCTCTACTCAGGAACCTAGTAGACCCTAAACCCTTATAGATCCCTTATAGGGCCCTTTCAGGATCCCTTATACTAGAACCCTATAAGGAACCCTTAACCCTAAACCCTACACCCTTACAGAATCCTTGTATGTAGATCCCCTTAAAGGGACCCTTAGAAGGAACCCTTGTCACTCATAATGCCCCGATTTGAGAGCCCTCGTCAAGAGGCTCGAAGGCTCTCCTCCCGATCTGCATCTTTGGCCTCGATATCCTCCTGGCAGCAGAGGATTCGGGTTTAGGGTTTAGGGTTTAGGGATTTGGTGCAGGATTCGATGGTTTTTTTGTTCAGGGGGGCTTCATTTTCCAACCGATCCGCAAGGGCTCCAGTGAAAGGCCTGAAGTCTAGCAGGATTCGGTGGTTTAGGGTTTAGGATGTATGAGTATGAGGGTTTGTCAGGGTTCAGGGCGTAAGGGTTTTCATCAACAACAACAACATCCATCATCCTTGCCGTAATCAAAACCGGTCGACAAAGGCATCATCAACACCACAGCCCCGACGATGAAGACGAGGATGACACTGGCGGCGACGACGCTACCTCACCACGAGGGCAACCTTCACCCAAATCACAAACCCGCAACACAAGCCTCCCCCACCCCAAAACATGCTCTAAACCCAAGCCCGAACGAATGTAAGAACCCGACAAACTCGTGGAAGCTGGGGGGTTCGAGGCCTCGAAATCGAAGCTGAAGACGTCCATGTCTTTCGCAGCGCCCAAGCCTGACACCAGAGGACGATCAGGGTTCAGAGCTTCGCATTCCCTTGCACCGGTCAGTTACCTGCACCCCTTTAAGGGATCTATATGAGCTCCTCTAAGGGATCTTTACGGGCTCCTTTATGGCTGAGTTAAGGCGCATGGGGTCTTGGGCTCCCTGCGTAAGGATTTCGGGTTGCAGCTTCCTTGGGCTTGGGTTCTGGAGGATTCAAGGTGAATCGGCCGTTGCTTCTGAAGTTTACCAGCGCTTGATGGGGAGTTGGGTTTAGGTGTAGGGCTGAGGGCATTTGAGGCTTTAGGCCTTTCGCGGTGTAGGGGTGCACAGGGTTTGGGACTTTGGTGCTTCGGGGCTTCTGAAGCCAACAGCAGATTTCTCGGAGTCCTTTTTCCCGTGTCGAACAGCTAAACCTCGGCTTAAAAAAGTACTGCAGAAGCAGCATGGACCGTCACGAGGCTCCGCGAGGTTCTTCGTGCACAAGTCTTCCGAAGGCTTCTACCGGCGTGCCCAGGTGACAAACGCCAGAAGCTCTCCTGGGTTTTTTAGTAGCCAGTGAGAAAAAGTATAAATTTTCATGTCATAATGGCTCCTTGAAGAAAAAGTATGCAAGTATGCTACCAACGCCCAGTCGCTTGCAACCCGAGCGTCCTGACGGGGCGACTGGAAGATGCTGGGGTGTATCATCAGTATTACAATTATGGTTACCATGATTGCTACTATTATTATTGTTATTTCTAGTATGGTTACTATTACTGCTATTAGTAATATTGCTACTAATATTATTAGTCGCATTATTATTACTACTATTTTTGCCTACCTTCACACCTCACAGCACTCCGACAAAACCTCACATCAGTCCTCCAGATGTGCGAACGACTAGCCAAGCCACAGGAAAAAGCCACCAAAGAGTCGCAGAAACCAATCAAAGCAGGTCGTCTCTTTCGCTGTCCCGGCCTGCCAGAACTCCAAACCCCGTATCCTAAAACCTGAATCCGAAACACCCCCATCCTCGGACGTCAAGCTGAACTACCTGCCGAGCTCAGCCTTGCTGACATGACGACGAACCACTCTCGGCCCCCACCCTTGCCTTCAGATGCTTCTCAAGTGTCTTGTCCGGGGGCTGATCTCGGGACGGGTGCCCCAGCCGAGCAAGGTTGGAGTAAACGACCTGGCGCAAGGCAAGGTCCCTTGGGTCGCAAAGGTGCGTGCCGAGGCGGTTCGTGCAGTAGGCGTAGGCCAGCTCTGCATCGGGGTCGGCAAAAGCAAATTGGCCACCGGTCCCGTAAGCTCCGAAGCTCTTGTTGCTGCTTCCAAAGCAGGAGGACGCGGGAGAGGCGGGCTTTCCGAAGCCCAGCGAGAAGGCTGTCGGCTGTCGTATAACCACATCGAACCGCTCCTCGGCGGGCTCCGAGAGGGCCCGCAGCGTCTCGGGCTTGAAGCCCACGCTGCCGGTGCCAGACAGGATGGCATCATAGAGACCGGCAGCTCCACGTGCCGAGGTAATGAAATTCGCACCGGGGATGCAGAGCGTTCTCACCCGCTCGGTGGAGTAGCTCTTCAATTTCCCCAGGAAATGCGGATTCTTGAAGGCTCTGGCTGCATAGGAACTAGGCGTGAAGGCGAGATTCCAAACAAATTCGGATGAGAACTTCCCTCTTAAAACCAAGTCAAAGGTCGAGAAGCAATTCAGGGATGCGATGCGAGAGCGGTCGAGCTCGGACGGGCTTGGCAGGCCACAATAGACTTCGCTTGCAGAGCCCAGCTTGGAGGTGATCTCTTCGCGGAGAAGCTGATCAATCCCCCTCTGCTGAGGGTCGACCTTTCTGCATAAGACATCCATATACCAGCCAATGGTGAGAGCCATGTATCCTGAGTTCTTGTTAAAAAAACGTTATTTAAGTTAGCATAATCGAGATCTATAGTAAATAATATGTTTCCTTATTTTGGTCATTTACATTGAACTCGGTAACCCCAAAACCCTATATTGAACCGTTCTAGATCCCTTAAAGGACCCCTAAAATTATGGATCCTGTAACAAGAACCCAGTATCCGTTCTGGCCCTCCGAAGGTCCAAACTCCATCCTCGGCGCTGGCGAATGTGTCGAGGCTCTGTGGCTTCGTTGGAGCAGTGAGTTCAGGGTTTGGGGTAGGTCCCTGCCATAGTGCCACCCCTAAGCTTCAATGGCCTGGACGTCATGCCTCAACCCCCTGTCACCTACACCCTAAACCTAAACCCCTCAACCGATTTTTTACTTTTGGGTAGTTGTCAAAATTATGTCCCTTTTTGGGCCCCTATTATAATACGGCACCTATTATTTAGGGTACCCAAAAAGGGACCCTAATTTTGACAACCACCCACATGTGGGTTGAACCTTTACGCTCTATTTGACAACCGCCTCCTGCCCAGCGTGCATATGAAGAACTCTTCAAAGAACTCTTATACAAACCTTACAGGAACCTTGACAGTGAACCCGTAAAACAACCAGCTCTTCAAACGAAACCTCCCCTTCGAAACAGCGTTATGTCTGTATAAATGATTACAACAATGTGGCATGGACCTTCGGGTCTATTTGGTATTCCGGTTTTGTTCGGTGTTTAGGCGAAGGTTCAACCAAGACAACGACGACCACGACGACGACGATGACGACGAGGACAACGATGACGACGACAACTGGTGGTGGTGGTGCTGGCGGTGATGATGATGATGACGGTGTTGGTAGTGAGATTGAACCCAAACCCATTGGATCCGAATCCAGGACCTCATATCGTAGAACACTTCTACCCAAAACCTTAAACCCTAAATTCAAGCAGCTCACGTTTTGAAAGCCACTCCCTCAAGCTCACGTTTTGAAAGCCACTCCCTCAGTCGGAGCTAACCGGCACCACTAACGGACTCCTCCGCAACCCAAGCTACTCTGAAACAACGGCACTTATCACTGTAGCCGGAGAAGTCCGTTAGGGATGGGGTAGCTCCTGCGTGCCGCAAGTGAAAGCGCTAGTGCTCGTGCTGCTACGGCTCTTGGTGCTGGTGCTGGTGCTGAAGCTGGTGCTAGTGCTGGTGCTGGTGCTGAAGCTGGTGCTAGTGCTAGTGCTGCTGCTGTACTGCTTTTGCTTGCCGCCTTCTCAGACTGAGACGAAGCTCAGTTCCAACCGCAATGAAAAGCTCCTGTCGTGAGCAATCGGCCTTCCATCCATACAGCCACTCGTAAAACTTCCGGATCAGGTCTCCAGGCGCCTGATCCGAAAGGTCGATACTTCAAAAGAACTGCTCCACTCTCGGCTGACTGTCTGAGAAGAGAGCCACACGCTCCGCTTCACGGCCACTCCTTTCCTGACAAAGCTTCAAGTCTTTCTTCTTCCTCAGGGCATAAAGGGCGGGTCAGGCCCCCCGGCCTCATGGGCCCCCCATGTGTTATGGGGCTTTTGGCGGGGCGTGAAAAAACATCGATTCCCCGAGTTTATGCAAGAAGGTATATTGGACTATGAACTGACTGGGTTCATCGATGGTTGGTGGACACGGTCACGATCCTTTTTTCTGTGAGTATTGGGTTACACAACAGAGCTCCGGTTCAAGTAGCACAGTTCCCCCGTGCTCTCCTTAGACATCTGAGTGCCGAGGACCGGAGTGTTTGGGAGAGGTGGGGCTTGTCTTTGGCGGCGGCTTCTGAAGCTACCAGTTTGGTGTAGATGAAGGCGATGACAACACGAAGGTGATGGTCAAGGTGACCAAGATGGTGATGTTGGCCATAATGATAATGATCACCATGATGCTGACGATGATGACGATGACGATGACGATGACGATGACGATGATGACGATGACGATGACGATGATGATGATGATGATGGTGATGATGATGATGGTGGTGATGATGGTGATGATGGTGATGGTGACCGCGATGATGGTAATGATGACTGCGATAGTTGTGGTCATAATGACGATCTGCGGCTGCTGAAGACCAAGGAGCAGCGCCTGAAAAAACGCTGATGAATATAGGGCTGTAGGGCAACGGGATGCAACGGGTCTAGGGTGTCCTTCTTACTCAATCCCAAGTCGCGAGGTTGTTGCTCTTGCCGCTCCCTGTGGCAAAAACACAAACTCCCCTGCGAAAGGGGAGCAAGTCACACATAGACGGGGAGTATTGAAACCCGCCTCGACCGCCGCGCTGCCTGTCAAAAGCACAGAAGCCTGACAGTGCGCTTGCGCGCTGTCAGGACGGAAAGACGGTAAATCCAAGGCACGTTTTTCCAGCCTTTGCGTTCGACCCCTCTTCAAGTCTTTCTCTCTCTCTCTCTCTCTTTTTCTCTTTCTCCGTTATCTGAGAGGAGGGCGTCGGGCTCACCCTTCTCGTAAGAGCCTTCCTGACAAAGGTTCCGAAAGCAGTGAACTGCTTGACCTTCTGACGCAAGCGGCCGTTTCCTGGCCTCTTGGTCCTCCACTCTGGCTTCGGCTTTCACCTTGCTTTCTTCTGTCTTCCGTCTCTCCCTCTCTCTCTCTCTCTCTCTCTCTTTCTTTCTTTTTCTCTTTCCCTGTTATCTGAGAAGAGGGCGTCGGGCTCACCCTTCTCGTAAGAGCCTTCCTGACAAAGCTGCAGAAAGCGGTGAACTGCTTGACCTTCTTACCTGGTCTTACCTGAGAAGAGGGCGTCGGGCACCGCTTCCTCGTAAGAGCCTTCCTGACAAAACTTCAGAGCACAATGCTCGACCCACTGTCGCAGGTGGCTACATCCTCGCCTCGTGGTCCTTCCAAGTGGACTCGGCTTTCACCTTGCTTTTTTTCTTCTCTCTCTCTTTCTCTCCCTCTCTTTTTCTCTTTCTCTGTTATCTGAGAAGAGGGCGTTTTGGGGTTTATTTTTCCATTGATTCCATTGTAAGAGCCTTCCTGACAAAGCTTCACAAAGCAGTGAACTGTTCGACCCTCTGACGCAAGCAGCTACATCCACGCCTCGTGGTCCTTCCAAGTGGACTCGGCTTTCACCTTGCTTTCATTCTTCTGTCTTCTTGTATCTCTCTCTCTCTCTTTTTGTCTTTCTCTCTTACCTGAAAAGAGGGCGTCGGGCACCACTTCTTCGTAAGAGCCTTCCTGACAAAGCTTCAGAGCACAATGCTCGACCCACTGTCGCAAGCGGCTACATCCTCGCCTCGTTCCACTCCTTCCAAGTGGACTCGGCTTTCACTTTGCTTTCTTTCTTCTATCTTCTTGTCTCTCTCTCTCTCTCTCTCTCTTTTTTTCTCTTGTGTTAGCTGAAAGCAGGGCGCCGGGAAACCAGTCTACCCATTCTGTGCTGTCCTGATGATAAAGCTTCAGAGTGCAGTGACTTGCTCGTCCATATCACGCAAGCGGCCATATCCTTGCCTCCTCCTCGTCAGGGTCCGCTGCGCTCTCCAACTTGTTTTCTTTCTTCTGTCTCTCTTTCTCTCCCTCTCTTTTTCTCTTTCTCTGTTATCTGAGAAGAAGGCGCGGGGCTCACTTTCCCACAAGCCTTCCTGACAAAGCTTCAGAGCGCAATGCTCGCTCCCATGACGCAAGCGGCTAAATCCTCGCCTCGTTCCACTCCTTCCAAGTGGACTCGGCTTTCACCTTGCTTTCTCTCTTCTGTCTTCTTGTCTGTCTCCCTCTCTCTCTCTCTCTCTCTCTGTGTCTCTTTGTCTTTCTCTCTTATCTGAGAAAAGGGCGTCGTAAGAGCCTTCCCGACAAAAGCTTCAATCCGCAATGCTCGATCCAATGACGCAAGCGGCTAAATCCTCGCCTCGTTCCATTCCTTCCAAGTGCTCTCGGCTTCCACCTTGCTTTCTGTCTGTACCTACCTCTCTCTCTCTCTCTCTGTCTCTCTCCCTCTCTTTTTGTCTTTCTCTCTTATCTGAAGAGAGGGCGTCGGGCTCACCCTTCTCGTAAGAGCCTTCCTGACAAAGCTTCAGAGCGCAAGGAACTGCTCGTCCCTGTGACACCGGCAACTAGATCGTCGCCTCCACCACCGTGGTTTCGACGTCCACCTTGCTTTCTTTATGCTTTCTCTCCTTCTCTCTCTCACACTGTCATCTGAGTGGAATGCAAATGAGCAGTCCCAACTTTCCTCAGAGGCTTCAGATGTATGTCTCTTTGTCTTCTTTTGTACAGTACTATGTTCTGTATCTGAGATGCCAACCCAACCCGGCAGCGGATGATTTCGTTGGACCTCATCGTGTATACTTTCGTTTGTTTGTCTTTCTCAGGAAACACGACCAAGGACGGAGTGCAATCTGAAAGTATATCTAATGGTTCCAGCATATACGACCCCATGTGTGTGTAGCTCTCCGAAAGCTTGGCACTCCTCTTCCAGCCAATGAGAATCAAGCCTCTATCGTTGACGTTCTACAGCACTAAGTCGATGGAACCAGCGATTTTGTGCGCAGGTGATGCTACTGCCCACTCTGTTCTGTCAACAGCATATCCATGAAAGCGTTTCCGAAACGCAAGGGATGTGCCCAGCTCTCTGGCCATACTGCCTGGGATAACATCCCGACCATTGAGTACATGTTCCATCATGGCATGCATCCATGTACCAGAATTGGAAGCTCTTTCCCCGTTGACCTCTCGTAGCATTTGTATGTCAGCATCAGTCATGGCAACTGTTTTCATGACGTCACCCCAGGTTTTTAGTAAGCATCGCGCTGCGCTCCGCATGTCACATAAAACATCAGAACTTAGTGTGCCCTTGTCAATCAACTCGATGATCGTGTGAGCGTGCTCGCACTCGTTCACCTGCCGCATCAAACGAAGTACCTTGAAGCCTCTATCGGGTATGAGATGCTCCGGACGCGGCCATTTTCTCGATGCTTTCATCTTGGCAATGCAGCTGCAACTAAAGGATGTGAATATTTTGCAACCAGACTGGTGACCTTAACAACATAAGAAACAAACAGAGACTTACCTATGCATTGCCATCGCCCTATGACATCTCCCTAAGAACAGTTGTTTCTTGTTTCTACCACTACTGATATGATGGTAATGATATGTATTTAACTTACTAACTACCTACTGGTGGAATGGTAAGAGATGCAACCGAGTCACACTGTACTGCATCGGCGTGCCGTCATAGGT